GTATTTGACAACTGCACATGTTGGTGAAACTGAGGAAATGGACACTTTCACACTGTTTAGAAAGTAAAAGCCTTCAGAGAAATAATCTGACAGTGCATCAAAATTACAAATATGTTAGACCTTTGATTCAAAGATTTGACCCCAAGAAATCCAATGCAGAGAAAGTAACAGGGAAAATGCGCAGAAATATAATTGCTAGTAACATAAACACGTAACAAAAATAAGAGTTCTTTGTCAAAGTACATTTGGTCAAATGTCATGCTATATACTGAGACAATACAACAGTAGGAGTCAATAAAAAGAATAAACTGGAGTACAGGGTACAAAACTCCTTTATAGTATGTTCCCATTTATGTAAAATCATTATGTCCTTATACATATGTGCATGAAAAAGTGTAGAAGAAAGCTCATCAAAATGTCAAGGCTGATCACCTCAGGTGTTTAGATTTAAATTCTTTACACTTTTCTCCACTAACTGAAATTTTCTACCATGAGCTTCAATTGTCTTTGGAAACAAGTAAAAAATATGCAATCAAGTGCAGTAGCGAAAAATAGAAATGACTCCAAGAGCTGAAATAATTTAACTGTAAATTGTGTTTAGAGCGTCACACATCCCAGTGAAAGTGTCTCTATGCAACTGAAAGTGAAGAACAGTGAAGAAGCAGGTAGCCAATCTACAGTTTCAGTTCCTCGCTACCCTTTCATTTCTACTTTGTCAATTCCAGTCTTTACCTAATATTTCTAATATAAATCCATTTCATCTTCCTAGTGTTAATAACATACAGCAAACATGAACTAATAAAAATTAAAAATGTTAATAACACTAGATTCTCCCACTAGTTACATATAGGAATTCAAGAGCAAAATCTATCCAAAGTAATGCTTGATTCTAGCTTGATACAAAAGCAAAGGCTTCCAACACCACTCCAAAACTTACAAATCTCCATATACAGAACAAGTACCACCACAAAAAAGTGATATCCACAAAAAAGTACAGAATAAGGGAAAAGATTACAAACATCTTGTTTGAATATTAAGCAACATTCACTTCCAATAGACTTTTCAAATATAGTACAATTGTTTAGAGTTGGGGAATAAAGTCTGATATAATCTATTCAGAAAATTTTCACCTTAAAGAGTAATTCAAACTCACCAACAAAAACAGATTATTTATCTTGACCAGTATAATACAGTGCAAATACATAAACAGTAGGTCTGAATTTATTGTTTGTACTGATATAACCAGCAGCACTCTATACTCATCCTAGTAACATACAAGCAAGAACCAGGAGGTTCTTAAATTCCCTCCTTATAAATCAAAACAATTACTTCCCCAAACCTAGAGTATATGTGAATGAAATTAGCAAGTATAGAGATGCAACTGCTATCTCTGCAGATTGGTTTCCACTAACCTGTGAGAAACAAAATGTATTTAAACTAAATAAACCACTAATAAATATGCTAGAAATAAATCCAAGATTTAAATCTCATTGTTCATATAAACTACAAATTAGGACTGTGTGGTATAGATCAGTGGTGGAAAGCTTGCCTAGAAAGCTACAGGCCTTGAGTTCAAGTGTCCAGTACCACAAAACAAAACAAACTTAAAATTAAAGACAAATGAGCAGGATAAATCTTCAGAGAAATTGCTTTTTACAGTACTCAAATGCTGAAAACATGGCCATGGAACAGAAATAACCAAACGCATTAAATTTTAGCAAAACACATCATTAAGTGAAGTGACTACATCTCACAAATGTCAGCTATATGATAACAGGACCTATACAAAACAATATTCAGAACATGTACTTTCAAATCAGCCCAAAACCTGAATCCAAGCTGACCTTGGAACAAATCACTTAACTTTTTAGAGCTTCTGTTTTCCAATCCATCAATGGGAATGTTTCCAACTAACACAAGGGTTTGGGGGTAAAAGTATGTTAGGCATGCATCAGTGCCTGGCCCATAATAAAAAACTACAATCATTGCTATTCTCTTCTCTTCCTGAATACTCCCTCTTTTCAATACCTTATATTTATTATAGGCCTAACCAGTATGATTGTGACTTTGCACACCTCAACAATCAAGTAGTAAAGAAAATATGCTAAGTAGGCTACAGATGGGGAAAAGTAAAGCCAAGAAGGGACTGATGAAATGCATAGGCTGAAGACTAAAGAGTCAAATAAAGGCCGGGGATTTAGGTCAGTGGTGCTGCCACCTGCCTCACAAGCAAATGCAACGTCCCAAGTTCGATCCCAGGCCCCCCTCCCCCCAAAAAGTCAAAGCAAAAGCAAGTTGTGAAGTAGAAGTCACTAGAATAGAAAAGATTTGCTCCAGGACACAACACCAAAAGAAAAAAAATTTTAACCAAGGTTCCAATACTGTTCTGAATGTATGAATTTCCTTAAAATTAACTACACTGACAATTCATTAATAAGTAAACTCTACGTGGGCAGGAAAAAGATCACACTGCTATTTCTTAAAGCACAACATATGGTCTGTACCAAATACTCACTTAAATAAAGCATGAAATCTAGATCCACAATAATAATTTGTATGCTCAGAAAACTCCACCATTCCTTCATTTACCTATTACAATTATCTATTAGGAGTCTATATGTGGTCAGATACACCACGATGCACTAGGAAATCAACGGTGAGCCAAACAGGCCAATTGCCTTCCTGGAGTTTACAATACAGCAGTTTATTCCTGAAAGAACATAGACTACTTACAACAACTGCTAAATTCTAGAAGTAAAAAAAAAAACCTTTGCATTAAGCTGGACAAGTGAGTTCAATTAATTGTTCCTAAACACTGACTATCTTAAAAAATTTTTTTAGGTTTCTCAGCTATTTTAGCTGTTAATTCTGGGCTCCACACTTTAAGGACATCTGACACTATACAATGTAAAACAAAAACAAAACCTGAAAACCATATCTTATAAAAAATGAGTTTTAGGCCTTAAGAAGACTCACAAGACATGACAACTGTCTTTACATTTGCTCTATACTATTCCAAATTAAATGTGAAAGTAACAAGAAAGTAGATTTGTTTCAACATAAATAATTCTAACAATGCAAGCTATTCAACAATAATTTGATCATCTTAGATTTCTGTAGGGCTGCAATACTTTACAAAAGACAAACTTTCATTTACTTGAAGTAATTTTTTAGAAGTATCTCCCTATTACAGTTTAGGAAACTAAGGCTCCAAGAATTTTGCTAAGAATATGGGCAAGCCAGTAACAGAACGCGAATCCAACATCTAATGGAACAGCCGCCTCACAGCAATGTGCTTCCACTTCTAGATGTATTCAGGCACATACCAAATGGCCATCTGTCAGAAATATTGACCAAGAATATTCAAAAGTTCTTCCAGATCCAATCCTTTCAAAAATGCTAGTGGTCAATATATACTCCACGAAAAGATTCAATAAAGACTGCTCCTTTAGATTGTTAGATTGCAAGCTCCCTGAGGACAATGACTTTGCCATTCTTCCCTGATAATATTCCTGTCCCTGAAACACCTGAGTAGTTAACAGGTGCTCAACGAGTATTTGTTAAATATGCACAATTCTAATCATATAAACCACTATTACATAATTCATACATAAACACACATCACTATTAAAAAATAAAGGACCTGGGCCAGAGATTTAGCTCAGTGGTTCTGCCACCTGCCAAGCGCAAGGTCCCAAGTTCAAGCCCCGGTACCAAAAAAAAAAAAAAAAAAGGACTTGGCTAAACTACTAATAAATACAAAATCCCTTCTTAAAATCCTACCATACATTTAAAATTCCAATCTAAAGTCCTGAAACTTAACCTAATGAGTTTCTACAAGATATTCAATTTCAAAAAATGCAAACTATTCAGCAAGCCTGAAATAACCATAGTTAAAAGTAAAATATAAATCCTTGTAAGCGGAAAAGGCAAAATTTGAAGTTGTTGATGATAATTCATTAAGTGTGCCTGAACACTGTAAGAATGAAAAAATTTATAGATCTCTGACTTAAAGACAAACTCAGAGATTTTTACTCACATCTTTAGTTACTAAGCTGACACTTCCAAGAGTGCAAAATTATAGGTACATCCGTTGTACAGTACTGAGATTTGACAGAGCCTATACTCAGAGGTATTTGGCATCCACTTGGCATTACTAACACCAACAGGAAAAGAACAGCAAAGCTATTTTGTATTTTCTACCATAAGGCCTAGAATCGCCAAGCATCTTAAGAAATGTAAGAACCTACAAAAACCTACAGTATGCTCAAAAGTCCTTTTTAATTTACAAGCAAGGCATAATAACTACGTAAGTTTTACTGCAATTACAACAAATTATACCCTTTAAAATTTTCTGAACAAAGATGCTAATAACAAAAAATCTGGTTAACTTAAACGGTGAGTAGTTTAGGTTTATAATGATATGAGAACATACTAACACATTCTCTTACTCTGGGTCACACCACCTCGACCTACAACGTTACCGACAACTGGATGTGATCACAAACACAGGAACCACAACCAAGTCTTTTTCCCCCCTTTTGCTTTTTAAAATTAAGGTCTTGAAAGATCAGGTAAAAAGCGACCCCACACAACAGTATCGCAAAGTAACTCATCTTCAAAATCTATTACTAACAACCTCCGTTTCAGGGTATCTCCCCTAATAAATGAAAACATCAAGAAGAGCCGCTTTTCCGTCCCCGCAAGATCCACAGATAACATCTGGGATCCACATCTCATTGCCATCAGTCCCAGCCTGACTCCCCTTCCACAGCCTCACTCCCTTCGCTGCTGGGCACTCCTAGACCAGCAAGAAAGCCCGTTCCCCTAAAGAGCTTTCAGAATAAGGACAGAAGGAGTCACCTCTGGGTGACCCACGCCGACCCGGCTGGAGAATAGCAAAGGGCAATCCGAAAAGACCTGTTAATGCATAAACGCAACAAGTCCGAAACTCGGAACTCTCCCTTCGCCACTTCCCCGGCCCCCGGAGTCCGACTCACCTGAGCACCGGGCTGTAGGGGCTCCGCGAGCGCCGCCAGCTGCCGCCGCTGTAGGGGCTGGGGGACACGTCGCCGCCGCGCTCGTACGAGGACGCGCGGCTGTAGCTGCGCGAGCGCCGGCGGTAGGGGCTGGGCGAGCGCGGCCGCCGCGTGTAGGGACTGCCCCCGGCTGGGCTGGGCGAGCGGCGGCTCCGCGGGCCCGGGGCAGCGCGGTGCGAGCCTGGGCTGTCGTCGCGGCCCGGCGGGCTGGGGGAGCGCGGCCGCCGGCGGTAGGCGCGCGGTTCGGCCTTGTCGTCACGGTAGGCCTTGGGTGGCTCGCGGTAGGCGGACGGCGGCTCCTTGCCCGCGCGCGAGCGGCCGCGCCGCACCTTGGAATCGCGCTCCTTACGGCCGCCGCTACTGGACGTGGCCGAGGCACTCTTGCGGCGGCGCCCGCGGCTACTGCTCCGGCTGCCGCTCTCGGCGGGTTCGGCGCGATCGCCGTGCCGGCCGCGGCCCTTGGAGGCCTCGCC